CTCCCTCCCTCCCTCCCTCCCTGGGAGTCCAGGCGCTTCAGTGAGCAGTGCACCAAATTTCAGCTGGGCTCCTCGAAAGACAAATTGCAGGGGGCCAATCTAGTGTCCAGGCTGGCTACAAGACATTCATTCTTGGCCGTACTTGAGATTCCTAGCTCCAATGGACAGCAAACCTAGGGTTGACCCTGAGCGCTTCTCTCTGCTAACAGGCGGCCAAGCTAAGTGCCTGAAGGACCCCATCCCGTCACTAATTTCTATTAGTGGTCCAAAAGGATTTAAAATTATGAATTTAGTGGTCCCTGAGGTCTGAAAGATTGGTGATTCCTGGAGTTTGATCCTGACCAGTTCAAGGTCGATTCGGCCTTCCATCCTTCCGAGGTCAATAAAATGAAGACCCGGATTGTTGGGGGGCAATATGTTGACTCTGTAAACTGCTTAGAGAGGGATGTAAAGTATTGTGAAGCGGTATATAAGTCTAAGCGCTATTGCTAGGGCTAGTGCCCTCTCTCCCTCCCTCCCTCCCTTCCTTTCAGGGTGCACAATACTTAGAATGCAGTATTGCAGGCTAATTCTGCTGACTGTCAGCCGTTCGATTCTGACTGGCTCAAGATTGACTCAGCTTTCCATCCTTCTGAGATTGGGAAAATGCGTACCCAGATTGTTGGGGGCAAGAGGCCGATTCTGTAAACCGCTTAGATACGTACAGCACTATGAAGCCGTATCTAAGTGCTATTGCTAAGTGCTGTTGCCCATCTCTGACATGTTTTGGATCTTTCCAGTTTTAATTTGCCCATTTGACTATTTTTTACTGAATCAGAGTAAACCCTTTTTGCCATTATCTTGAGAACTTTCTCTCCTGATGTTGTTTCTCTCACCTGACTAGACAGCTGCAATTATGCGTTGCACGCCAAAGAAGGGAAAGTGATCAGCTTTGCCACGCCAGGATTCCCAAACAGCCCTTACCCATCCAACATGCGCTGCTTCTGGGCGCTGAGAGCTGATGCCAACGCAGTCATTAGCCTGACCTTCACTAGCTTTGACGTCGAGGGATGCAACCAAGGCAAGGATTTTGTCAAGGTGTACAACTCTTTGAGCCCAGTGGAAGAACGCTCGCTGGTGAAGTAAGTACATTGGCTACAGCATGACGTGCTCTCTTGGGGAGAAATAAGGATGGGCTCCTGGGGGCATAATTGGCAGGAGCCTGAGGTAGACTTCAGTTTTCATGGCTTCTTCTGGGTTGCCCTGTTACTGATACCTACTCTGATGGGGAAAGAGATTGTCAAATATGCATTGCTTAGTCACTAATCGTTCTTCTTCTCCTCCTCCAACTTCCTCCTTCACCTCTCCTTCCTTCCCTCCCTCCCTCCCTCCTTCCTTCCTATCTTCCTTCCTTCCTTCCTATCTTCCTTCCTTCCTATCTTCCTTCCTTCCTATCTTCCTATTTTCTTTCCTTCCTATCTTCCTTCCTTCCTATCTTCCTTCCTTCCTATCTTCCTTCCTTTCTATCTTCCTTCCTTCCTTCCTTCCTATCTTCCTTCCTTCCTATCTTCCTTCCTTCCTATCTTCCTATTTTCTTTCCTTCCTATCTTCCTTCCTTCCTATCTTCCTTCCTTCCTATCTTCCTTCTTTCCTTCCTATCTTCCTTCCTTCCTTTATATCTTCTTATCTTCCTTCCTTCCTATCTTCCTTCCTTCCTTTGTATCATCCATCCTTTTTCCTTCCTTCCTTCCTTCCTTCCTTCCTTCCTTCCTTCCTTCTTATCTTTCTTTCTTTCTTCCTTCCTTCTTATGTTCCTTCCTTCTTATCTTCCTTCCTTCTTATCTTCCATCCTATCTTCCTTCTTTCCTTCTTTCCTTTCCAGGCTGTGTGGGAGCTTTGATTTTTCATACAACCTGACTTTCATCTCCTCCCAAAACGTCCTCCTGGTTATGTTAAGTACAGATGCAAAGGGAAGATTTCCTGGATTCAAAGCAGACTTCTTCCAGATGTCAAAGACATGTAAGAATGCCATTCTTTCTATTTTGGGGTAATACTAGGAGATCATGGGTTGGCAGGATGTGGCCTGACAATAAATTCAGTATTACTATTGCTCCTTTTCCTGGCTGTTTTCTCCTTAAGAGAGAGGGAAGAAGAGACTAAAAGGATATGAGCCAGAAGCCCAAGAAAAAAAGATGATTTTAGCAGCCATTTTTGACCCTGATTTATTCTCACTTTCTTCAAAGAATAGCAGGCATTCCCCACCATTGTACACATTATTAAGCCATTCATGCAAAAAAAAGTTTACTCCTAATTAAGTAAAGGGTTCAGTCCAGTAGAAGATAAAGATGAGTCCTAAATGTTTGATCAGTTATCTGGTGCATATTACCATATGTGGTGGACATGCCCAAGAGCAAAAAAATACTGGACAAAAATACATACATGGCTGGAAAAATGATAAAACAACATATATAGCAATAGCAGTTAGACTTATATACCGCTTCATAGGGCTTTCAGCCCTCTCTAAGTGGTTTACAGAGTCAGCATATTGCCCCCACAGTCTGGGTCCTCATTTCACCCACCTTGGAAAGGATGGAAGGCTGAGTCAACCTTGAGCCGGTGAGATTTGAACCGCCGAACTGCAGATAGCAGTCAGCTGAAGTGGCCTGCAGTACTGCACTCTAACCACTGCGCCACCTCGGCTCAATATCTGAAAGCATAGATATTTTTGTTAGGCATTCTACCAGAAAAATATGATAAAAAGACTATATGCTTGATTTTGCATATATTAACTGCAACACGAATTGTATTTGTGCGACAATGGAAAAATGATAAGATTCTCAGAGGAGAACGTAATTAAGAAAATATTAGAATGTGCAGAAATGGACAGGCTAACGCTTACTATTAAGGATAAAGAAGAAATCGAATATTTTTTTTGATACGGGACATATTTTATCAATGGCTAGATAACAGAAACCGGTTAGAAAGGAGGAAATATAAAGATAAAATAGGAAATGGTTAAGTGGAAAGTTATAAAGAAGAGAATGTTAAGTATTAATTCTATTATATTATTATGTTGCTAAATTATCAATATGATGGTGATGAATATCACAACAAAGATGTGTAATATGACTATCTAAACATAACTGTACTCATAATTGTACCCAGATAAAGATTATTAGGGGACTGGAGGCTAAAACAAATGAAGAACGGTTGCAGGAACTGGTTATGTCTAGTTTAATGAAAAGAAGGACTAGGGGAGACATGATAGCAGTGTTCCAATATCTCAGGGGCTGCCACAAAGAAGAGGAAGTCAAGCTAGTCTCTAAAGCACCTGAGGGTAGAATAAGAAGCAATGGGTGGAAACTAATGAAGGAGAGAAGCAACTTAGAACTAAGGAGAAATTTCCTGACAGAACAATTAATCAATGGAACAACTTGCCTCCAGAAGTCGTGAATGCTCCAACACTGGAAGTTTTTAAGAAGAGATTGTATAACAATTTTAACTGAAGTGGTGTAGGGTTTCCTGCCTAGCAGAGGGCTGGACTAGAAGACCTCCAAGGTCCCTTCCAACTCTGTTATTCTATTCTATTCTAAAATATATCTCACCAGATCACACACTGTTTGATGGAAATTGAATGTTACATAAATAAAACAAATAAAATGGGAACAAAGAAGAAGAAGAAGATAAAGAGTGAAAAATAGACAGGCTAGAGAGGGAGAAAGTCTTGAGGATAACAATGCATCAGGGACACAATTATTTTTCCCTCACACAGGAGATGTTGTGATAAATAACACCCTCTCCCTCCTCCACCACACTTCTGGAGATTCTAATAATGCTTCCTAATGAGAACTGGGGCTGAAATTGGACGGGGTTGAGCTGATGGACAGGTGTGTACAGGTAGCCCTAATTGGTCTCCTGGGTTATAGCCATGCTTTTGAATCAGGCTCTTAACAGTTGACGTTATCTTATTAATGGCCATTATGCACAAATGCCTCTCTTCTGGTCACCAGTAAGGCTCATAAGATTCTGTTTTCTCCCTCCACACCGGTTCTCCCTCACTCGATTGCAGCTTGTGGCGGAGTTTTGAAAGGCATATCAGGGAATTTCACCACTCCGTACTATCCAGCCTACTACCCTCCAAATCTGGATTGCGTGTGGAATATAGAGGTAAGAATTCCAGTGTACTAATTCTCTTTTTCTTCTGGGGCCCGTAGCATGGACTAAGGGAGAGCCTTTCTAACTTGTGGATCTGGCTAATTATCAAGGTGTTAAATCAAGAGTTGAAAGGCCTTTTCTGGGTTGTATTCTTAAAAGTCTGAAAACAAAAAAAATAAATCATGTCAACTCAACAATGGAGAACCAAACCCTTTTTTATCACTACTATTTTGTCTCAGCTTCTGCCAACCTAGCAGTTCGAAAGCATGTAAAAACGCAAGTAGAAAAATAGGAACCACCTTTGCTGGGAAGGTAACAGCGTTCCGTGTGACTTCGGCATTTAATCATGCCGGCCACATTACTATGGATATGTCTTCGGACAGCGCTGGCTCTTCGGCTTTGAAACAGAGATGAGCACCACCCCCTAGAGTTGGGAATGACAGCACATATGTGCGAAGGGAACCTTTACTTTACCTTAGACACATCACTAGAAGCCGAAAATCACAAGACTGTGTATTATTTACTTTGGGTATGTCATGTGTGCAAATTCATTAGAGAAGACAATGAGGCTAGGAATGATTAGTGGAGCAAGAAGAAGGAAGAAAGAATTGGCTTGGATCCCATCAAAACAATCCAACACATTGGCTTGATCCCATCAAAACTGATACAATGATGAACATCCAACAACTGAAAAAAGTTACGATTGACGGGGTAACATGGAGAGCACCTGCCTATAAAGTCACTAAGAGTTGGATCCGACTGAATGGTTAAATCAACGACAACAGTTGCCGTAGTTTCTTTCAGAAAATATTGGAAAAGACGTCTATCTTGGGCGTGGTGTCAGTGTTTGTTTCCTCCCATCTCTGCCCAACCCTGCCAACTTTCAATCTCATTTTCAGGTGCCTGGGGACAAAAATGTAAAGATACGCTTCAATGAATTCCACCTGGAGGATCCTGGTGACTCCTCCAACTCCTGCCCCAAAGATTATGTGGAAATCAACGGTATCAAGTAAGAGACGTTATTCATTGGTAAATCTGGGTTGCCAGTTCTTGTGTATCTGTTGTGAATGGGCAAGAAGAGAAAAACTGTCTTAGGCCCTTTAATGTCTTCAAGGCTCTTCCTTGCCATCTTTTAGGATAGAAATACCATAAATGAAAGGTCCTTGCTTGATTAAAACAGCACAAATATTTATCTTGTTGTGTGTGTGTGTGTGTGTGTGTGTGTGGGGGAGAGAGAGAGAGAGAGAGAGAGAGAGAGAGAGAGAGAGAGAGAGAGAGAGAAGGAGAGGGGGATGGAGAGATCTTATGTATTGATTGATGCAGCTCATTATGAATGAATGAGCCGGCCTCCAGTTGATTTTTATTTTCTTGTGGTTTTTAGATATTGTCAGCCCAGCAAGGGATTTGTGGTAATGAGTAAAACCAACAAAATTACAGTTCGTTTCCACTCAGATAATTCACACGTGGACAATGGCTTCTCGGCTGAGTATTTGTCCTTTGACTCCAATGATCGTAAGTGGAGATGTCAAATGTGAGATTAATCAGGGAGGGAGGTGGTGGGATGAGTCACCTTCTCAGTCAGGAAAGGTTGAGTTTTAGATAGAGAAACCCTCTATGGGAAAGAGGAAAGTCCTTGCTTGATATGAAGCATCCTACAGAGCAGTGAAGGGACATGGTGGCTCAGTGGCTAAGACGCTGAGCTTGTCGATGAGAAAGATTGGCAGTTCGGCGGTTCGAATCCCTGGTGCTGCATAACGGAGTGAGCTCCCGTTACTTGTCCCAGCTTCTGCCAACCTAGCAGTTCAAAAACATGTAAAAATGCAAATAGAAAAATAGGGACCACCTTTGGTGGGAAGGTAACAGCGTTCTGTGGGCCTTTGGCGTTTTGTCATGCCGGCCACATGACCACGGAGACGTCTTTGGACAGCGTTGGTTCTTCGGCTTTGAAACGGAGATGAACACTGCCCCTAGAGTTGGGAATGACTAGCACATAGAGTATGGGACCCTTACAGAGCAGTGGTTCCTAACCATTTTGGGTCCATGGACCAGCAACGATGAAGGCAGTGGGGGAAGGGGAAGAGGATGGTTGCCTAATCCCATGCATTCACAAATAAAGCTTCACCATGATCACCCACCACATATGTAGCCTGGTTCCCAATAGGCTACAGATCAATACCGGTCCGCAGCCCAGGGTTTGGAGACCCCTGCTTTAGAGAATGCGAGGAACAGTGTTAGAAGAAGCTTCCAATGATAAGTACCTTGGAATGACAGTTAGTAAACGGAATTTTAGAACTTAGTTTCCTGCCTTTTTCCTCTGCTCATATTTAGGCACTATCCAACAACTAATTCAAAGTTCAACGGTGAGGTCCATTATTTGCATAAGATCCCAGTTTCACCCTGCTCTGTCCAACTTCTATCGTGGAGACCCTAGGGAATTTTTTTCCAAGTTTTACTAGATGGATAAACTAGACAAATAATCCATAAATTATGAGATGGCTCTTGTCCTTTCAGCATGATTTGCAGCTCCAGGTTCTGGCTCAGATAAACATTGGATTTATTCCATAATGAAAGAGGATCTGGAATCCTTCTGAGGATCTGGAATCACTCTGAGAGAAAAGGAGAGAATGACAATTGAGAACATTCAATTTCTAGATGATCCCTAAACTGGTGCTGAAATAACCGATAGTATCAAATCATATACTGACACGTTCCTTAATTATTCCTTTTGGGTGTCTCCTCTGAAAATTCACAGTAGATTAAATTATGTCCATGCTTGTCCTAATATCAGAGTTTTATTCCATATAGAATAATCTCTGGAGACAGTTTTTAAGAGAGTTTCTCCAAGGGTCGTCCTTGGGTTTTTCAAGACTCAACGCTATGGCAAAATAAGACTTTCCCCAAGAGCAGAATTGCAAATATACCATCCAGAATGGCAGCAAAACATGTTGATGCTTTCACCTATGCAGACATCAATGTATTTATATCTTTTCTCTCCCCATCCTCTTTGTTGACTTGTAGCTTGCCCAGGGCAATTCACCTGCAAAAGTGGCCGTTGTGTCAAAAAAGAACTGCGCTGTGATGGGTGGCTTGACTGCCCAGATGCCAGCGATGAGACAGATTGCAGTAAGTCCTCCTTTTTAGCTCTGTTAGGTGGTGTGGATGATGCTCACAAGTCTTGTTTAGAGCTTTGGAGCATCTGCACCAAAGACAAATTCCTTGTGTGTTCAATCACACTTGTGTATCCAACAAAGAATTCTATTCTATTCTATTCTATTCTACTCTACTCTACTCTACTCTACATTCCAATATCTATTCTATTCTATTCTATTCTATTCTATTCTACATTCCTATATCTATTCTATTCTACTCTACTCTACTCTACTCTACTCTACTCTACATTCCAATATCTATTCTATTCTATTCTATTCTATTCTATTCTATTCTATATCTATTCTATTCTACTCTACTCTACTCTACTCTACATTCCAATATCTATTCTATTCTATTCTATTCTATTCTATTCTACATTCCTATATCTATTCT